TATATATATATATATATATATATATAAGGTGGATGTATCGTCCTGGCTCCTAAATACCGATCCCCTATATCTGCTAATTCAATCAAGCTGGGATTCGAACTCGAGGCAGAGGGGACTTACGCCGAAGTTGCTTTTCAATAGGCCACAGTTGCACGCGCGCGCGCACACACACAAATATATATATATTAAAAGGAAATCGATATTTGACAGAGGCTCAAATAACGATTTCTCATGCGCAATCCGGCTCCATGATGAGAGCCCACGCACAACGGTAGGGATCGAACTCTTGTCAGAGGGGACTTACAGTGACCCTGACTACCAAATGGACAAGAAATGTGACACAATACCATATCATCTGCTTGTCAGTTATATGTCCCCTCTGATCTGGGGTTCGATTCTCCTCAAATGTAAGGTGTGGTACTCAAATTATTAGATGTATGAGAGATGACCGGAGCTCGTATAATAGTCTTCGACCATTCCTTTCAAAAAAAAAAAAAAAAAATCTCATTTGATTCTCCAATTAATAGTCAATACATTTTGGACTATGCTTTAAGTATTTTCAACACATGCATCACAATTTTTTTATTTTACATGAAATAATTCTTGCAAAAATCTCTCTTAAAATATGTAAGAGAGTTGAACAATGAGTTGTAAAATATTAACTGTCGGCTCCATCTTATCTGCTAATTTACGTTTTAGATTGGTCGGTTTTAATTTATTTGTGTATTAATCTTAATTAGGGCTCTAATATTTTTTTCAGCTCTCAAGCAAGCAATATATAAATTATATATATATATATATATATAAATAATTTAAATTTAAATTTTACAATTGTTGATATTAGGATAAGACGAAAAAAAAGGGGTAGTTTATTAATCTCATTTATTATTTAACAGTTAACTAAATTAATATTTAAAAATTATTGAATTGAATTCAAACAAAATGAGGATGTGAAAATCCCTTCCAGGCTACAATTGGCACAGATTTTATTCGGTGCAATTAAAATATTAAGGGACATTTACATGCATACCACAAAATTCCTCTTTATTTACATATCAAGCACTAAAATATAACTATTTTATATGTAGAAATTGAAATTTTACTGTTAGATATATAAATACTAAGAAATTGAGTTATTTGTATGTAAATGTTCCTCTGGCATAGTTAAAATATTAATGAGATTAATTTGATTAATTTATTAAAAAGATAGAGAGGGTTAGAGTATTAAATTTAATTAATTAAGCTAATCATAGCTAAACATTATTATCCTTTCCGTTAGGTGTAAAGTCACCAATTATTTATAGAATTAATCACACCTATCATTTTCCCATGATTTGAATATAATCCTCCGACACACATGAAAGGAACTCCTTTGTCTTTTATTCCTAGTGTACATAATTATCATTATAATATTATATATTCGTATATTCTTTTATATTTTTTTATTAAAAAGGATTATGTTTATGGTGAAAAAATGAATTCTTATATATTTAAAAATAAGACTCCAAATTTAATAGATGAAGCAGACATAATTAGTGGGATTGATAAATACCTGCACAATAACACAACATGGTCACATGAAACATAAAAATAAGAACAATACAATAATATTGATAGTAACTCAAATGAACGGGCATACATGCATACAGGTGCGGAAATATCATGGATGATGATGAAGTTGAATTTCTTATGTATCATCGTGAATGATTGTTTAACGAACTTGATGAATGCAAATGTTGGATAGCTCCTTAAGCATGTGCGAGCTTGATAAAAGAGCTTGAGGAGTGTGGGCGAACTTAATCAAATTAAGAAACTCGCTTGAATACCCAATACAAGTGAGTTCAGTCGAACAAACTTGTGTGGCCTTTTGAGAAGGAAGTTTGGTAATAGTCACCTCCAAAGGTGTAGCTAGCTTGTACGACTGAATGGTCTTGTCAAAATTAGTGCTCTTGATGCGCAATGAAATGAGCTCGATCCACTGGACCCAAAATGGCTCATTTAGTGTTTGAAATTTCCTGTTATTTTGAAGATCTATTTTTGGATGTACAATATCATAACAAAATGTCGCAATCATTAACTTCTTAAAAATTGGAATACTTATTTTCAACCATAAGTTAATGATAGCTTATGATGCCATGAACTTCGTGATAATAAGTTGATGATGATGATGATTGTTAGTCAATAACAATAAAGTGACGACAACTGAATAATGATGGTCAAGAACTGATAATGGAGAAATAATAGTCGAGCAATGATAAATTTTAAATAGCAAACCCTTAATAACAGTTGAACAGAAATGTTCGGAAAATGATTGTTACTATAAGTGGCCATTGGCATTAATCGTTGCTACAATTTTAGAGGTAATGAGATCTCTAAGCCCTCTTAAAAAACAAGACAAGATTATGGTTAAGCATTTGATGAATGCAACTTAATTCATTATGTTTTGAAGTTAAGAAAAAAAATTTATTTAAAATATTACATCGATCCTATAAATATATTTACTTTCTAAATCATTGATAATTTCTTTCAACATTAAAATACCTTTTTAATATAAGAATTAAGTGATTTTATGCTCGTCATATTCCTTTAATCAAGACATTTGAATGCAAACATATGATATTTATAGATTATTTGATTATTTAATTAATATTAAAAAAATTAAAAATACTTTAATCATTTTATTGGGGATCGATTAAAAGTTGATCATTTAATTTTTTAGTAATGAAATGATCATTTATTAAAGCTAAAATACCGTGGCATTAATTTAATTTTTAAGAAATGAAATACAAAATGATTAAAACTATTTTAAATAATCAGCGTCTGATTATTTGGAGAAATCCTGCCGTTGATTTCCATCAGCAAGTGAGGCCGTCGGAAGATGTGCGGCGAGGGTGTTGGCACGTGGACAAACGCACGTGGGAAGTCGGTCGGCTGTTGAGGGATACGGGGAGTATGGGTTTGGGGAGTTCTGTCGGCCCGGGCCGGGCCTGTCCCGTGGGCCGGCGCAGCTGTTTTACTGGGGCCCATTTCACGAGGACCTGCCGCTGCCGGCTGGGCCGGCTACCCGAGGGGGGCCCCGAGCGGGCCCCACATTTGGGACACATGTCTCGCCTCACACGTTTCGCTGCGTTCACCCTCATCTGATTCAAATTAATTGTATTTTGTTAAAAATACTAAAAAATAATTCTAACTATTAATGTAATTGTAGGTGTGATTTAAATGTATTAAATAGTATTAATATGCCACAATCATAAAAACAATATGTACATTCATACATCTAATATTAATTTTTTAATTTTAATTATAAAGTAATTTTTATTAAGATTATATATGAAAGAAATGAAATTTATGTGTAATTAAATAATATTAATACCTTTTTATGAAATTTAGATATTACAACATTACACACATATGTATAGTAAAAGGCCAACATAATGTCTGTATATTTACATAAGATTGTTCAATCCTAGAGTCTATAGAATCCTCAAAATAGTTTGAATATTTTAAAATTGAGTTTTAACAAATTTTTATGTGAACTATTTCAATCTCAATTTAAAGAGATAGAGAACTTCTGATGCTATATGAGTTCAGAGAATAAAACGATTTAATATAAATAATCGGAAATTATTTTTAGACTGTATTCTATGCATTTCTCTATTTAAATTTAAATTATTAGATTATTGCTGATAAATATTTAAGTAATTTCTAAAATAAAATTGAGAATTAAATTGCCAGCCGTAGTACATTCTCTCTCTTTTCCCCCTTCCTCTTCAGCTACTTCCTTAGTTCCTAAATTAGCGCGCGGTAGATTGAGTGATTCCGAGCAATATAGTGGAGCCGAAGCTCAAATCCGGCGACATTGTGTTGTCAAAATCCCACCTTTCTCGATTTCTACTGCATCCCCGCGGTTTCTCTCCTATCCGATCCGATCTCCTGCTGTTTTACGGCGCCTGATTTCGAGAGACCCACAAACCTTCGTCCCACACCCAGTGGATGTGAGATATCAAGCTTCACCATCAACATGGCGTCGACGGACGCCTCTGTGAAGCTCGCCGGCAGCGTAAATGGCCGAAAGGACAGCATTTCGTCTTCCTCCGCCCTGAAAGGTTTGCGATTCTGCTCGATCTATGGATCTGGGGAATCCCACCGTAAAATTGAACTAACAGATGTCGTTTTGGTTTCAGAGATGGAAGACGAGCTGTACAACGAGCTCTGGTACGCCTGCGCAGGTCCGCTGGTTACTGTCCCGCGCGTGGGGGAGCTGGTGTTCTATTTTCCCCAGGGACACATCGAACAGGTCTTGTTCAGCTCTTCTCTCTTCGATGGCGAATTTCGCTCGGAATTAATTTGTGGTTTTACGGTTTTTCAGATGGAGGCTTCAACGAATCAGATGGTTGACCGGAAGATGCCGGTCTATGATCTCCCTCCCAAGATCCTTTGCCGTGTGGTGAATATCGATTTGAAGGTATTCAATCCCTCTGCGGAATGTTTTTATTGGCTTTCAGAATAGAGATAGAAAAATTGCTGGAAATTAATTAAGGTTTTTGTTGATGAAGGCTGAGCCCGACACAGATGAGGTTTTTGCACAGATAACTCTCTTTCCTGAGCCAAATGTAAGGCTTTTGATTCACTTACCTGTTTTTACTCAAAAGTTATGATTTTTTTTGTTATCGTTTTGCTCTTTGGTGTGGTTTCAGCAAGATGAGAAAGTTGCAGAGAAGGAGCCATTGCCGCCTCCGCGAAGGCCTCAAGTTCATTCGTTTTGCAAGACTCTCACTGCTTCTGATACGAGCACTCATGGTGGTTTCTCTGTGTTAAGACGCCACGCTGATGAGTGTCTTCCTCCTTTGGTTCGTTGTTTTAGCTTCTATATATTTGGATTATGATTCCGATGAAACTGTATCAAGTAATGTATATTCATTTGATCGATTGATGAATTTTTGTTTTGATAATCAGGATATGAGTGGGCAGCCTCCAAGCCAGGAACTTGTGGCCTTTGATTTACATGGGATTGAGTGGCGTTTTCGCCATATTTTTCGGGGTAATGATTGCAAATTTTTTCTCGTTTTGGTTGTAATTTTCTTAGGTGTTCTTATGGCCGTTGAAAGCTGGTTCATTTAAATGATTTGTTCTTGTTCAGCAGCTCAAAGATTTGATTTTTTTGTTCTGAAAATTGATTTTAACAAAGCTTGCCTTTGTGATCATTGAGATTAGGAGGATAATCTGAGTTCCTGTTGTAGATCCTTACTGTTATTTGTGTTTAGGTTATAGATCCTTACTCTTAGAATTAACTCAATATTTTGGTTACGACCAAATGCCTCCGTGATTTTTAGTTATTTGATATTTTTAGATGATTCATGTTTTGGGTAAATAGAAAGACGGATATTAATATTTTTTTGCAATTTATTGCAACAATTCAGCATAAATAAGGAAGATTTACAGGCATGCCACTCAATTTTTATTTATTTACATATCTAACAACTATACTTCAATCTTTACATATATAACACCTCACCTATGCATGTAAAGGTTTATTTCACTGTTGGATCCTATTTTGTCCTTTTGGATCACACTCCGAGAGTTAGAGTTAGAGTCTGGTGAAGGAGAGAGGGAAGAGAGAGTAAAAAAAACTTGGGATCTTTTTAGAGAGAATCAAGGGAAATGTCCTCATTATTTGCATTTTTGCCCCGTATTTATAGAGACGTGTTTTGTACAATCACAAAAATGATGAAATAGTTATGAAACTGCTCTTAATTTCATTAAGATTTTAATTGATTGTGTAGATTCTATGTTATATTTGTATTACAATTTGAATTTTAACATTAGTTGTAGTTGGCTGGTTGGCTGGCTTGAAGTCAACCGACTAAGACGACTGACCGAGTGACATCTGTGCCCTTTGGAATATGTGTTGGTCGGTCAAGGTGTTCGGCCGTATGACAATCTTGCTCAGTGTCTTTTGTCATAGTCGGCTAGAGCGTTCGGTTTGTGAGGTGGTCGTTCGGTCCGGATACAGGATTGGTCGTTCGAATGTGATTGACCGGCTTTTTTCTTAGTGAGTCGTGGCTCATTTTTCCCTTCAGCCCGAGTCTAACAAGGCTCGTGTCTTGCCTGCCTGGTTAGTTTGTCACCTTGATCGGATTTCCCAACCTTGTAAGGTTTTAAGCGGGTTTTGTAGCAGCTCGCGCAAGCTATCCGATGAAACTCGCTGTCGGGATGATTCACGCTTCATTTTCGGTGGATCTTGCCGCTGCCGATCTGGAAAGCATCCGCGGAGCTTGAATTTATCCCGAGTTTGGAGATGCAGCTTCATGATTGGTCTTGGATTGTCGGTTGATTGCTTTCCTCGAAAGGAGGCTCTTTTCTCTCGGTCATTCATTCTCTCTGAGATTCATGCTGTATTTTTGTTACATACATTCACTTTTTTTAAAGTTAAAATAATATTATTTTTGATATGATATGAAAGATCAGGGTGGTATAAATTTAACAATCAAAGTGTAGATATTGGATATGTAAAAATACATAAGAATGGGTTGGTATGTATGTAAATGCCCCTAGAAATAATGGGGCAGTAGTTGAAAGTCTCTACCTTTTTTGGTTATTTCTTCTTCTATAGTGTTAATTGCATCTCTTTTGATCGATAATTGATATCAATATCATTTAAGTTGTATCTTAGTTTTTATCTTTGAAATAAACAGGACAACCAAAAAGACATCTACTACAGAGTGGCTGGAGTGTATTTGTTAGTTCTAAAAGGCTTGTTGCTGGTGATGCTTTTATTTTTCTGAGGTCAGCTGTTAGTTTATTCAACTCTTAACTGTGATGATAAATTATGTCTAATATGACGGTGCTCTAAGCAAATTTTGTGCGATTTTAGAGGTGAGAACGGAGAACTTCGTGTAAGGCGAGCGATGAGGCAACAGACAAATGCTTCATCCTCGGTTATCTCTAGCCATAGCATGCACCTTGGGGTCCTTGCAACCGCATGGCATGCTGTTACTACTGGAACAATGTTTACTGTTTACTACAAACCAAGGTTAGCAGATTAAGATATAATAAATCACCAAAAGTTGATTATTAGTGCTTTATATTTGAATCTTTTTTCTATTTATGTTGTTTGAGCTTTTTCCGCAATTGAAAAAATGTTACAGGACAAGCCCTTGTAATTTCATCATTCCATTTGATCAATATGTGGATTCTCTGAAGAAAGAATATTCAATTGGAATGAGGTTCAGGATGAAGTTTGAAGGTGAGGAGGCCCCAGAGCAAAGGTATAAAATATCATTTAAATTATAAATAATTGTACCCAATGTGTCTATTGAATCCCAAGTGTCTGAATGGTTATTTTTTTTAATCTATTTTTTCTCTAATTTTCTTTTGGATAGATTCACTGGTACAATAGTTGGTATAGGAGGCGTGGATTCCAGCAATTGGAGTGGATCAAAATGGAGGTGTCTAAAGGTAGTTTTTTTTTTTTTTTTTTTTGGGGGGAATTTATACATACCTCGCAATTATTTTGTATTTGCATATCTAATGCCCAAAGTTTAATATTTAAACCTAGAGCACCTTCGTATCATAAACCTATGCATGAAATGATGTATTTCACTTTTAAAAAGGCAATGATATTGTATTTTTGATGTGATGTTAAAGAATTGAGTGGTATGCATGTAAATATGAAGGTTTAGGTGCTAGACATGTAAATGTGTAATAATTTTGTGTGGTTTGTTTGTAAATGCCCCCCTTTTTGGACTTTCTGCTGCTTTGTTGATTGAATAGATTACTCATTGATGTGATTTAAGGTGCGGTGGGACGAAAATTCTTCTGTTCCTCGTCCCGAGAGAGTTTCCCCTTGGCAAATAGAACCAGGTGTGAGTTCTCTTCCTCTTAAACCATTGCCAGCATCAAAACTCAAGAGACCTCGAGTTAATGTGGCGCCGTCTTCTACTGATTCTTCTGTTCTTACAAGAGAGGGTATATTTATAACATTAAGACCAATAAACAACATTCAGTTGTCCCAAAATGCTGCATTTTTACTAATTATCTGAAAAAATCCTTAACCTTTTTAAGGAACATCTAAATCCAACACAGAGCCTTCGCAAACACATGGGACTGTGAAACCAACAGAAAAAGATGATGTTTTGAATCTTACGAATAATGCCTCTTATAGAAATGAGTCAGATTCGAGTTCAAAAATCAATTTTTGGCCTACATATCATGAAAATTCTCACGAAAATGAGGGAAATCAAGGTTTTGTTCCGATGTTTAGGCACGAAACTTCATACGCCGACATGCTAACGGGTTTTCGAGCCTCCGGTGATTTGAACTGTTATGGGATTCCGTACTTTGGTGGTTCTTTTGACAATCCAAAGTCTCTGAAGAACTATTTTTCCAATCAAGAAGGCGAACTTAACCATTTTTCTTCGATGCCTACTCATCCTTACTTGAATTCTGAAGAAAAGTTGCCAACAAAAAATCAAGCATTTTGTGGGGTTGGAGGATACGAACTAAAGCAAGATCACGCATCTGAGCAGCGCTCACCAGACTGGTTTACGCGATCATTACCGATTTCCAGAGCAGAAGACTTGGCGTTGACAAATGTTACGAACTTACAGTATTTCAAAGCTGGCCATAACGAATCAACTATGTCTAAAGAAAGCGGAAATTACAAACTTTTTGGTTTTAATCTCAATGACAGCCCTTCTCAAGTTAACACGTGTGAAGAGGCGGAGTTGTCTAGCGAAGGAGCTGCTAGATTACCACAACCAAATGTTCTCGGTGCCACCACTGTCACTGCCGGCGGTGCTGCCGTCGCCACCTCTGCCACTCAGTTTTTTGAGCAGTCTAAAGTTAGAAAATCTATTGATACCATTTCATCGCTTAGTGACCATGAGAAATCTATTCAATCATGTCCCCAAACTGCTAAGGTTGTGCAAAAGAAGCCTGCAACTAGATCAATAAGAAGCTGTACCAAGGTTTATTGACTATTTTTTTTATATAGCAAGCTTCTCATTTTATTCTAATTTTCTCAGTGCATTTTTTTCTATAATGACAGCATATGAAAGGAGGCAAATTTTTCTTTTCGATGATGGATCCTACCTGAAAGAAAGTTCCTTATTTGATTTTCAAAGTTTGCTAGTGAGAGATTAAAAAATTATTTGCAGTGAATAGCTTGTTCTTTAGTATTATTTACACAGACCTTAACTTTTCCAATTTTTTGCCATCCAGTTTGTTAGATTTGCCTTCAGCATTGTTCTTGTGTTGGTTCCTCTTTTTTTCTTAGTTTTTGTTTTTGTATTGTGCAATATTAGAAAAAGGAGCTATGCAATTTGTGTTAAGCTTTTTCTTATTGTCCTCTCACAAATACAATTAAGGGAAATTTACATACATGCACCACAATTATTATGTATTTACATATCTAACATACAGGGTTTAATATTTACACTTATAGCACCTTGGGGTCACAAAATTGTGCATGAAAAGGTGTATTTCACTTATAATAAGATAGTGATGGTGTATTTTTTATGTGTTGTTAAGATTTGAGTGGTATGTGTGTAAATATGAATATTTTGATGATTGATATGTAAATACACAAGAATTGTGTGGTATGTATGTAAATGCCCCATTTGACTATTGCTTTAAGATGCATGCAATATCTATCCAATCAATCAAATCATCTCAATTCAAATCCAATGAGAAAATGCTTATCCTCATCAAAATTTTCAGATTTGTTCCCAGTTTATCTTTTAATTTTTTAACTTTCTGTTTTTTTTTCTTAATTTTCTATTATTTCAGGTTCTTAAACAAGGAATAGCGCTTGGGAGATCTGTAGATCTTACAAGATTTATGGACTATAATGAGCTCTTTGCAGAGTTAGATAAAATGTTTGAGTTTGGAGGCGACTTACTGGCTTCCACTAATAACTGGTTGGTTGTGTATACCGACGATGAGGGAGATATAATGCTTGTTGGAGATGATCCATGGCAGTAAGTATATATTCTCTCCATTAATGCCTTAAAAGACTTAATAAAAATCCTAACTTTCACATCAAATACTCCCAAAAAAAAAAAAAAAAAAAACCCAAAAAGAGCACTTTTTTACACCTAACCACATGATTTAATCTTATTTACAGCGAGGTCTTTAGTAAGTATATTCCTCCCATTAATGCCCTAAAAGACTAACAATCTCAGCTTTCACATCAAATACTCAAGAAAATAGAAAAAATGAGGTCTTTTTTACACCTAACCACATATTTTAATCTTATTTACGAATAGTTCTGTTGTGAGTATATTCTGTCCATTAATGCATTAAAAGACTTCAATAGAAATCTCAACTTTCCCATCAAATACTCAGGAAAACCCAAAAAGGAGCACCTTTTTACACCTAACCACATATTTTAATCTTTTCTACAGCGATTTATATAGTAAGCATATTCTCTCCATTAATGCCTTAATAAATATCTCAACTTTCACATCAAATACTTAAAGAAAGAAGAGAAACCGCTCTTTTACACCTAACCACATATTTTAATCTTATTTACAGTGAATTCTGTGACATTGTTCGCAAGATTTATATATACACTAAAGAAGAGGTCCAGAAAATGAATCCTGGAACCTTAAACCCTCGAGCTGAAGACATTTCTGCTTCGAGTTCCTGATCTAAGAATCAGAAGAAACCAGTACCCTTGATCTGCAGTGTGAGTGCCTAAACTTTCATATTTTCATACATATCACTGGTTTCTTATGTATTTACATATTTAACTCCTAAACTTTAATTTTTACATTTATACCAATCAAATCTATCATACCACATAAAAACTGCCACTATTTTAACTTTTAAAAAGTAGAATGCACATTTTTAACGCATAGTCAAGTTGGAGTTTACGTCAAACTTGATGTTTCGGTATTAGACATGTTAATATATAAGAATAGATTGGTATGTGTGTAAATTTTCCATTTTTGTTTTCTCAGCATATTTTTTCATTATTTATCAGTCTCTGTAAGTTTTGCTGGTTTGAACTGAATGATCCAGCTTTACTATAATTTGAATAAACCTTTTTTTTTCCCCATGGAGGAAGCCATTGGAGGGGGTTTATTGTGTAATTAAAAATTTGTTTTTTTTAATCTTTAGGACCTTGTAGGAGATGAGAGAAGTTTAAAGGGCCATTATTGAACCTGATATGGCTTCTTATTCAGCTCAAGCTTATTGGTGAAGCCTCACTGATCTCTGGAACAACAGCTCTCGCCTTTTGTAGATCTCCTGTGGTTTAAAGTTTACTTTTTTTTTCTAAATTATATGTATTAATGGTTTGTTTTTTGGTTTTTTCTTCACACAAAGCCACCTTATTGATCTCTTAATTAGTGAGGACTGTAAATGCTTGTGATTGCTTAACAAAGTTATGGACTTCCTTGTATTTATACTGGGTAACTTTGTAAATAGCTTATATTAGTGTTAAATTCATGATATCCTACTAGTCTTTTCAAATACCACGAAGTCCTCATTTGTTTTTCTTTTCTTTTTTTTTTTTAAAGAAATTTACATAAATATCTATTTACACATCTCACACCTGAAGTTTCATATTTACATACATATCACTCCAGTGATTTAAACTTAGCATAAAAAAGTTGTATTTCAGAAGTAAAAAGTTGTTGTGTTATTGTTGATGTGAGTTTAAAGATTTGAGTTTGTGTGTAAATATGTAAGTTTATGTGTGAGTTATGTAAATATATAAGAATTATGTACTAAATATGTAAATTTCCCCCTTTTTTTTCAACCATTTGTACTGTAAATCACTCTAATCTAATAATCTCAAGTTCTCGGCAAACAAAAGAAGAGTTAGTTAGCATTTAGTCTTATTTGGACTTTTTGTCTATAAGTTTGACCAGGCTTTTTTTATTAACTAATTGGTTTGCTATTATTATTATAACTAAACAGTTGCGGGTCAAATCCTCTGCATGAGAAACGAAAAACATTGAACCTGTACTTGAGGGCTCTGATTATTTAAATGGAGGGGCATTTACACATATACCACCCAATTTCTATGTATTTATATGCCCAGCACCCAAAATTTACTTTTTTACCTTTATATCAACTCAAATCTTTCACATGACATTAAAAATATTACTTTTTTGTAAGGTGGCATAAATGTAAAAATTGAAATTTAGGTGTTAGATATGTAAATACATAAGAATTGGGAGGTATGCATGTAAATCTTGAATGAAATAGCTATTGTGGCCGCATCAAACAGACAGTTTGGTTTGTCTTAATGTCTCGAGATGATATTATATTCCGAAAAATATATTAAGAAAAATCACTGTTATTTTGTCGATTCGTTAACTGTATCAATATTTTTTTGTTTGCACGTGAATCATGATGTTATGGAAATAGTCAAGGAGTTATTTTGACATTTTACTCTTTTTAAAATTATTCATTATAATAATAAATAGGGGGGCGTTAATTAGTTGAATTGATATAAACTTATTAAGTTTTAGGATAATTTTTAGTGCTCAATTGTAATGTCAAAATGAATTTCATATTTAAAATGCTTATAATCAAATCGAGCGTCTCGACGAAACGAATTCAAAAAGCCTAAGATCACTTGATTTCGATGGCATGCATACACTCGAATATTTGCAAACTAGTGTACGATCAAGGAAATCTCTCTGAATCATCTGATAGAGTGATTCAGTTTCTTTTCTTACTTAACGGGAGGCAGCTCCTTGGCTCTATGGCTCTATAAGTGGAGCCCTAACATCTTCATGAGAGGGGGGCTAAGACCAGAGCTTGGAGAAGACATGAGGAGAGAAAGAGCTGAATTCCAGTGTTCTGCACTGAAGATCCGACGAACATTTCCTACTTCTATCGTTGTCGACCACCGCCGACCACCTTTGAGCACTGCTTGCTAACCGCACGGAATAATGAAACACCTTGTTCAACAACGACGAAAAATGCAAAGTAACGAAGCACTTTACTGAAAAATATATCAACATTGCGGAGTAAAGAAGCACCGTGTGGAGCAGCGACCAACATTGCGGAGTGATGAAACACTGTGCGGGGTATCGACCAACGTCATAGAGTAGCGGGCAATCTATAGAGCACTGAACACCACCCATCAACGCACTTCGTAGACGATGTACCGAAGTTCTGGCAACAACTACCGCTCCCTACTGTTGTTCAACGAGTCCTAGTGTATGATAAGGGCATGTACATGTATCCATTAAGTTAAAGTGGATTATTTCTGACTGGGTGTGATTTTTCATTTTTCAAGTTTTTCATGTAAAATTAAACTCACGGTGTCTCTACTAATTATATTTATTTTGGTTAGATTTTTGTGTAAGATTAAAATGCTAAACATTAAGTTATCACCACGAATCTTCTAACAAACATCAATATATATTCGTGTTCGGTTGTTCTCAAGGCATTTGGTTTGCTAGACGTGTAGTCATTGACCAGCCATCGCAGCTATCAATAATCGCCGTCTACCACCATAATACATGCATACATATAATCATACATTTTTAAGTTATTAAATATTTATTATGTAGTAAATAAAATAGAAAATATTTAATGACAACAGTTAAATTTAAAATTTTAATCTTATTATTATAGCACCATTAATTGTAATTATGTTCCATGAAATATTTCAGTAAATTAATAATTAAACAAAAAATCCTTCCGCAATTAAAGAGCAGAAGGCGACGACTGATCACCGGATGCTCATAGAAACAATGATACAAGCGTGTAATGAGACAATTATTAGTTTTTATAATAATTATAAAATGATTAAAGAATTATTTATTATAATGCAATTACATCAAAATTATTCATAAATGTATTTCTTTTTATTTGTTATGAAGATGCTTATAATACTATTTTAAATGACTATAATATAACTTTAAGTGTACATACATAAAAGAATTATTTTTATCATGAAAATTTTATAAACTAAAATATTAAGGTTTAGTCTATTCAATCCAAATTATTTGTGGGTAAATTAGAATATGTTAATAGCCCTTAATGAGAAAAAAATAATTTCCTATCATTAGAAGAACAAATATACTAGACTAAAGGAAGCTATCGTGATGCATGTACGAAGGTCCCAAATAATGGAGTAATGAATTATCGTCTTGGCGTTGCATTGAAACCAAACACACATTAGAAAGGGGAAAAATCCATAGGCCCGGGTCAAGTGAAATAATTCATTATGAATTGTGAGTACTCTCGCGTTCACTTTTCTCTTGACTTAGGGATAATGAAGTTACAAAGTTGATTATTGCAAATGTATAATAGTGGTTCATTGATAATAATCATGGACTGGGTGTGTGAATGTACTTCTCGGTGATAGTATGTTGCAAGGATTGTTGTGAATTGTTATGGAGACAATAGTTGGCTGTGAACATCATAGATAATGGTTGTAGCACCAACTTGTCATATAGTTTGTAGTTAAAAATCATGGTAATTGTTGGTAGTGTGGGTCGCAGATGATTGCTTCTATTGGTTGGCTATGGAGGCCGTGATAGGAAGTTGCAGATGTTGTGAGTCATGTAGACCATAGCTGATCACATTTGTCATAGCGATGAATTGTGATAATGTTCATAAGCTGCAGGGGCTAGAATCGAGAGTTGCAAGAGTTGTGAACCTTGTAGGCATAAGTGGGTCACCTAAGCCACAATGATTAGGGCTGTAAACAAGCCGAGCTTGAGCGAGCTCAGGCTTGGCTCGTGTTCGGCTCTTTCGAAATAGTTCGTGCTCGAAATCGGCTCGTGTTTGAAATTGGCTCGTGAACAGTGTGTTCGTGTTCGACTCGATTTAAATATTTGTGTTCGTGTTCAGCTCGTGTTCGACTCAAAATTGGCTCGTTAAAATTAAATTGAAAAAAAAAAATAGATGTAAAGTGTGGGATTCGAACATGGACAAAATATATACAAAATAAGGGATTAACCACATTACCACATGAGATGTTATGATTTAAACTTAGATATAAATATATATGATATATTATTATATAAATAATATATGTAATATATTATTATATAAATAATTATAATTATAATTATATATTATATATATATTTATTTATTTTGAGCTAAAACGAGTCGAACACGAGTTGTTCGCGAACAACGAGCTTTTTTGAGAGCCCTAACAATGATGAGTTGTGATTACGCCCAAAGGCTGCAGGGAATAAAGTCGGCAGTAGCATGAGTTGGGGACCCTGTAGGTCGTACTTTGGTCACACAAGTCATAGTGGTGAGCTGTGATGATGTTCGTAGTCCATAGAGGTTGGAGTCAAGAGTTGTATAAGTTGTGGATCACATAGACCATAATGGTCATGTAGGCCATAAAGGTGAGTTGTGATGACATCTATAGGTCACAGAAGTCGAAGTCTAGAGCTGAAGGATCTATGGATCACATAGGAAGTAGTTGGTCACAAAGCCATAATGGTGAGTTGTGATAATATTTCTGGGTCGTAGGGACCTGAATCAAGAGTGACACGAGCTTTGAGCTACGTAGTTCGTAGTTGGTCATGTAAGTCATAGCGGTGAGTTGTGATGACATCTTTAGTTTGTAAGGATCGGAGTTAGGAGTTGCATGAGTTGTGAACCACATAAGTCATGGTCGGACAGGTAATTCATAGTGCTGAAACGTGATGATGTCCGTAGGTTGCAAAGATCAGGGACGGGAGTTGCACAAGCTGCAAATCACGTGGGTCGTGGTGGTGACCTATAACGTCGATTGTAGGCCACAAGGGTCAGATTCAAGAGGTACATGAGTTGTAGACCCTATAAGCTATATTTTGTCAAGTATGTCATGTATGTCATAGTAGCGAGATGCGATGATAGAGCTTTAGGAGTAGAGAAAATCATTGTCATTGGGGTGCATCGTTACACCACATTCGAGAGGCGTCATTGCATCGTATGTGAGGTGAATTTTATCACATTATCGTTGCATCGTATTCAGGATGCGTTGTTACACAATCTTTGGGTTGCATTGTTACGCAATTTTTAGGGTGCATTGTTACATCAACTTTGAGAGATGTCATTACACTGTATGTAGGGTGTGTTGCAACGTTGTCATCGATGAGTGTCGTTGCACAATGTCTTTGATGTCATATTGTTATGTCAGATGCTTCACTATTTCGCAACATACACCAATATTCCGCAATGCACATTGTTGCTTCGTAAGGGGCCTAGCTGTAAGGTGCATGTGAAGGCTCTTGGTGGTCAATGATGGCCTGCGAGCGGCGGTTAGCTACCACAGGAGCAGAAAGGGTACATTAGAACAACAGTGCAAAATATTGGACTCCATGTTATGTTCTTTCTCTAGCTTAGGGTCTATGCCCCCTTCTCAATAGGGCGTGGGCTCTATTTATAGAGTATGGATTGTAAATAAGAAATGAATCTCAACCACTCTGATTAAGTGGCTTGGAAAGATTCTCTTAATTGGATGGTATTCTATAGACATTTAAGTGTCTTAATAATGTCAGAATTGAGCGATCTTGAGTTCGTTTGATTGACCTCATTGAGACCCTCGATTTGTTCATAAGTGTCAAATTTATAACTTGTTTGACGTCCCAATTATGCATTGAAAGCTTCCAAAAGTGATTTAACGACTCAATCTGGGCTTGATTTAACTCGAATTGAACAAATTGGAATCCATTGGTCCGAATTGTCAGGCCAGTCAATTTATTATAAGTTTACTAAAATTAGACTTCCGAACAACTTTTAATCATAATTTGAATATTGCAAAAAAAAGTCTTAAAATTCATGTCATACCTCAAGATTCAGGGTGGATGATGGAAATTTGTCAATTGCGTGTCAAAGCAAATGCTAAGTTGCTCATTAGCAATTTAGTTAGCGTCCTCATGAGTGTGTCCTCCGTGATACCTTATATGAAAAATATTTTTTTAACCTTAAATAACATGGTTTAATATATTATTTGTAACACATCATTCGTAAATTTTCATCATCTTACATAAATCTTGAGGCATGACGTGAATCTCACAGATTTTTTAGCAAGAAACATTCAAATTCAAACTAAAATTTATCCAAAACTTTTATTTCAACAAAATTATCGTCAAACCAATCGACTCGACGAGAAGAACCCAAAGACACCAAAATTGACATAGTTCGAGCCAAATCATTCCTGAACCAAGCTATTAAATCAATTTTAAAAGCTCTGGTTGAATAGTTAGAAGGTTAAATGGATTCCAAATCTGAAAAGTTCCTAGTCAAATTGATCGTCTCGATGAGATCAATCTAACGAGCCTAATATTTATCAATTCTGACATCATCATGATGCTTAAATGTCCATAAAAGATTGTCTAATTATGGGAATCTTTCTAAGTCATCTGATTATATGGTTTGAATTTCTTTCTTATTTACAGGGGAAGCCACTCCCATACTTCATAAATAGAGTTATGCTCCCTTCATGAAATTAAGAAGAACAGAAGTTGGAGTTGGGCTAGAAGAAGAATGAGCTGAATTCTAATGTTGTTTTGAACCAAAAAGACGACAAATACTTTCTGCTACTGTAGTCATCGACCACCATCAAGTGTCTGTTTTTGTTGCAACAAAGCCTCTTGCAGAGTCATGACATATGTTGCAGAGTAATGATCAACATCACTGAGTGTTCTGCAACATGTGCCTTACAGTTGGGACTTATGTAACTAACTAAGGTTTATGTGGTCCACACCTCATGCAACTCTCAAATTCGACCTCTGTGACCTACAAATGTTATTACAACTTCCAACTCTGGCCTCTGTGGTTTATGGAGACTATTGTGGGTCATTATCACAACATATGCAACCAAGTACCACTTTTGTGTTCCACAACTCATGCAACTCCCAACTCTGACTTTTGTGGGCTATGAACGTTATTGTAGCTCATCGTTGCAACCTATGTGACCAACCACATCCTAAATAATTAATAGCTCATGCAACTCCCAACTCCAGCCTCTATGGCCTACATACGTTATTATGGTTCACCACTTCGACTTATCTGACCAACTAGGAAATAAAAGGTCCACAACTCATGCAGCTTTCCACTCCAATCTCCATGGCCTATGAGCGTTATTGTAGCTCACGAATATGATCTACATGAACAACTATGTCTTATGTAATCCACCACTCAAGCAACCCCCAACTTTGGGCTCTGTAACCTACAAATGTTATTGTAACTCATCACTACGAGCTATGTAACCAATTATATACTACATGATCCACAACTCATACAACTCTTAACTCTAACCATTATGACTTACAGACGTTATTGCAGCTCATGCAACCTCTATGACCACGACTGATGTAACTGACCACGACATATGTGATCCGCATCTCATGCAACTCCCTACTCCGATCTCTATGGCTTATGGACACTATTATTTCTTTCTAAAATGAGTTACATGACCAACTATGACCTATGTGGTCTGCAGCTTATGGAGCTCCCAACTTCGGTTTATATGACATAAATGTGTTATGCAACTCATTACTACTACCTATGTGACCAACTATTGTCTATGTGGTCCACAACTCATGAAACTCTTCAGTTCAACCTCTATGGCTTGCAAAAACTACTACGACTCTCCACTATGACCTACATGACCAACTAAAACTAATGTGGTCCACAACTTGTGTAGCTCTCGACTTCATCCTTTGTGGCCTGCAGTCATTATTGCAGGTCATCATTAAAATCTATACAACCAACTACATTTTATGTGGTTTAAAACTAATGCAACTCTCAACTCCAGTCTTTGCGGCCAACCGACGCTCGTGAAGTAACCCTCAGACATTCATGGCCAACTATTACCACAAGTTTCAAAAACAACATCCACGACAACCAAGTCTATTTCTGAGTCTATTATAGTTACCAAGAACTACATTTATTGTATGTCATATGCGTCTGTTAAAACCAAACCACTATTATATTTCTACAGTTCTATCTTTTTTAAATCAAAAGAATAGTGAACCTATGTACTCAAACTTACATAATGGATTACTTCAACTGAACTAGGTCCCATGGTTTCTTCCCTTTTTAAGATTCTTCATGTACAAATCATGGTGTCTTCTCCCACTTGCTTATCTATTATCTGTGTGTTGAATTTTTGTACAATACTAAGACGTTAATTTATCACTCTAATTTCATGAATATCCCAACACACAACAATCGTAATATTTTTTCTATTTTAAAGAATAAAACTTGATTACACGGATGTGGATAGACCAAATAAATCAGTAAATTAACATAACAATTAAACAAATTTGGATTGACCTAATTATTATTAGTTGGATTCATGTTTATTCACATAACCTAAGATAAACTTATGATTAATTTGATTAATATTTGAGCCGAGTTAAAATAGTCATGCATACTATTAGGTAGGGGTGTAAATGAGTAATGCTGAGCTCGAGTCATTCTTTGATCAAGCTCTGCTTCTTTGTAAAAGTACAAGTTTGAGAATTTTGAATAAAATTTTTTATGAGAGTTCTCTGGAGAAGCAAAAGAAAATGAGGTGCTATTACAGCTAATTGGAGAAGGCATCTCCATGGCGAGAATCCGACTAGTATAGCCAGCTTGCTAACGAACAAGCCGAGCCTCGATTAGCTCGAGCACGTGCCTTGATAAGCTCGAGCAGGCTCGATGAGTCTTATCTAAATTAAATTAGCCATATGTAGGATTTGTGTTAGACAGTCCATAATAAATTGTTTGACTCATATAATAAAAGGGTTAAATTTAAGTTGTGCCAGGACAATTGAGTGCCCAATAGCCCTTCAATGAACCGGGTTCGATGGCGGCTTTACCGGCTCAACCGGTTCGATAAAAAAATCGCGAGAACAGAAGACAAAACGAGAACAATGCGGCTTATCCTCGGCCACGCCTCACATTTCGCCATTGGAAGAAATCAGACGCTGCTCTCCTACGAGCTTCCATTTATCACTTCGGGGAGGAAGAGCTAGGTTTCCACCAAACCTGCTTCTTGATCCTCTAGGTACGCTGCATCTTCACCTTTTAGCTTTTATTTTGGTGATTAGTTGATCTTCTTGTAACTGTTATGGTTCTTTGCTTTCTGTTTAAGTTTTGTCGATTTAAGGTCGTTAAATTTATAGTGGATGCGATGTATTATGACATGATTTTCAGCTGCATGGATCTGGTGTGGAGATCTGATGCTTGTTAGGGAATATTGAGATTTGGCCTTTTTTGAGATTAGTGCTTGTTCTGGAATGTTTAGTTGCTTTGTGAATGTGGGGTAAGGGAGAAGCATGTTAGGGTTAATCGTGCAATTTCAAGTTTGGAATACTTGGTGGATATGCGGTTATGCGGAGTTGCAGGTTGTGAAAAGCAACTTTTATGGTTCTACTAAGTTTCTCTGATGATTTATGCCATCCCTGCTGTGCATAGATTTGGTTTTTCTGCTATTCAGTTATTTTTGGTATGCAGTGCCAGGGCTATGCTTTGTTCTGTCTGTGAAATTTTGATGAACGGATTAGCTGCCTGATGTAGATCTTGTGCTATGGCAATGGCTGATGTTTTTATTTTACTGCTAAAGAGCTATTTTGGTTAGGGTTCATTAAGGCAACAGTTAAAAACTGCGGACAACAGGATGGTTTCAACAAAGGGTAGACGTATTTTGAATCACTATAATTTCATATCATATATTAAATATTTTTTCTACTGATTATTATGCCCATCTCCTAAATATTTTTTCGATTTTTTTAGCTTCTCACTGCTTCTAAGCCATTTGCGAAAAGCATACACAACATTGTATTAATTGTTGTATCTTATTTGTATACTTACTTTTGTTCTTAAATTTTATATAATATATAAATATCTTTTACTTCTCTTCCTCATTATTTCTTTTTTACATTTCCTTTTTTGTTTTTATCTTGTGCTTCTAATTTATTCTATCAGTGGATTAAATATCACTAGTTAGTCACCTCACGAGCATTTAACATCCAAACATCTTGTCTCAGAATTTCACTCATATTGTATGTTCTTGTGCTTGTTCTCAAGTGGAATATAACTTATTCTATTGGAATGTTAGAATAAAAGATGGCTAGTGAAATATTTGACATTGAACCAAAAAAAAAAAAAAAAAAAAAAAAAAAAAACAAATATGATGACATTCATCTGTCCATGGTTGCCCACAAAAACATATCCATTATAATTGTGGATGGTACATCATAATTCTTTCCTTCCAATACCCTAAACCTTGTGAGAAGTATAATAGAGGTCCAAATAATGAAGTATGAGTCTAGGAGGAATAGGTATTAAAATCCTTGACCTGTATTTGCTATTCATAGAAAAACGGTATTATTTTGGCACTGCAATACTTTTCTCCAATGTCATTGTGTTGTTTCCTTTAGTGTTGCTCTCCAAACTAACTATGCTTGCTTTCCACACCACCATGCTACACCACTACAATTGCATCACACCAAAGCAGTTAACCATGAGCACGAAAAAAGAAGGCGCATATATTTTTTTCTTTTTTCATCTAAAATTGTGATAGTTTTTTCTCTCCATTTAATTTCCTTTTATTTGTTGTAATTATAAGATCCATTGCATCTACTTTTTTCAAGTTGTAGATTCTTATTTGATTTTCTTTTAGGCTACACCAGCACCACCAACAACAAGCACATTCTTCATACATCTCTATAAATTCAAGAAAAGTTGAAAATTTGGAACTTATTTTGAATTGAAGCTAATTCATATTGTCAAAACATTAAATGACTCATAGAAATTAATTGTGTGATACCTCCTTATTGCCCATGGAGTTAACTAAGGCTTTGCATAGCCTTAGCTTGTCTATTGCAATCATATCCCCTAGCATGCTATTGAAATAAGTCCATTATAAATATGACCTGTTTTTAATGTTTCTCAAGTTAGATTGAGAGTTTAAAATCTCATTTCTTTTTGTAAGAAATGGATGAATTTGCACAATGTTAGCTTGATTAAGAATTCATTTTTTGCAAAAAATGGATGATTTGGTACAATGTATGCTTGATTAAGAATTGATACTATTCGAGAATGATTCATAAGGATATATATTTTTTTTTGGTAGAATGGCTATAAGATGACTTATGTTTAGTATGAAATAGGAAACCGAAGTGCGTTGGGAAAGTTATATTTGATTTGATAATTGCCAATTATATTCTAATAATAATCTCACACTTTAAAAAATGAAACTAATGCTTAATTATTTCAAAAAATGGAGCCATGAACCTATTTATACTTGAGAAAGAAAATTTCATTCACAAATTATAAATTTTCAATGTAAGTTTTTAAGAGACAAAATTTATATTCTTCAATTGAGCTAAATTTAATAACCGGATTAGCTATTTAGTTCCATTAAAAAGAATAATTTAAAAATTTTATCGGAGTTTAAAAATATATCATGTACTATCATGGAAACTTAGTGGAGTGAAATGCAAAAGGTTATTAAAGAAATGAAATGTTTTTCTATAGTGGCTAACGTTAAATATCACTTTGGCTTATTATAGTTGTAAGAAAACTTGAGATTTTATAGCAAATTAAAAGCAAATACTTTTGACGATTTTTCTCTTAGATTTAGTATTGCAGACATAGAGAAAAGTATATAAATTAGTTAAGGCAACTGATAATTTAGAGATAAGTAAGAATATTGATCAGGTTGGACGCATTTAAAGTGAAGTAAGAATATTTTATTTAAAGATAATGACGTTTAATAAATATGAAAATTTAAATTTGAGAATTATTAAATTGTGTTTTAGTGAAAGAAATTGTTTTGGAGGAGGATGAAAAAGTAATAAAATATATTTTTCATTGATCACAAGAAGTTGAAGCAAAATTAGCTTTAAAGAAATACATAGAGTTACAACCTTAGGTCCAAATAAGTTGAGCATTGCTTGGAGAATTATATGGCAGACTGTAGTGATTTGCCAACAAGTTTTTTTAAATAGAATTTTGATGACTAAACTGATATGTAATGGTTGAAGTAGTATTTGGTATTAATAATTAAGATTAGAGGTGATATTTAACATTGCGGTAAGTATAGAGGAATAAAGCTTCTGAAAGTGAGTAATGACAATTACACTTGGCAAAGTACGTTAACAAATGAATAATCAATGTGGTTTTATGGCAGGTGCACTTGTTTTGAAAGCTATTCATGTGCTCTCATAATTGATGTCGAGGAAGAGAAAAGATTTTCATATGATTTTATTAATCTTAACAAGATGTAATTGAATACTATATGATTTCAGTTGGCTGCCTTAATAAAGAAATCTATGTTTAAATAGGATGCTGAAGTTATTAGAAATACTCATGATCGAGCATTGAATGATATTATGAATAGTTGAGTAGTGAACAATGTGTTTTCAATTACAATAGAACTGTGCCATTGTTCATTATAGAATATAGGTCTTTCATATTATTTAAGCAGATTTTTATAAAGGATATTCAGGGTGAAGTACCTTGATGTATGCTTTGCTCAGGACACATAATTTTACCTAGTTAGACTTTTACTCATACAGATGAAGATTTAGAACTACCGAGAAATTTAGACGAAAATTAACTTGGAATTAGTAGAGGGGAGAGAGTATATGATGCACTGTTATAATGAGTGTGATAATGATAATTATTGACCAATATTATTAGCAAATAAATTGGTACTTCAGCATGATAAGGCTAAATATATTGGTTATATTATATAGTTAAATGGAGATATATTATAATGAAGCATCAGTGATTAAAATGGAGAAGTATCTCAAAAACATTTTGTGATAATGTGATGAGAGGATATCATGGTGGCTTAAATATAAGCTTTCTAAATTTGCAACAAGGCTTACTATATTCTATGATTGGAAAATAAAAAAATATCATTGGTAGACACATATGACCATGTTAAGATGAATGTTTGGTAAGCCTTGAAATAATGCATGGATGAATGATTATATTAGAGCAATAATTGGAGTTGCATCTATTGAAGATAAAATTGTTGAAAATAACTTTTGATGGTTTGCTTATATATAATGAATGGTTGAAAGATGGGTAGTTAAATTTAATGATAGAGGATTCTAAAGGAAAGGAAGTGTACACTGACGGTAATTTAATAATTGTTCATAATGATTTGCATGGACTAGGTTCAACTTTACATGAAATAATTCATGAGAATAAATATAAAATAAGGATTCACAAAGCTGGCTACGATCAAATTAGCATGTGAATAGTAATCAGTTTAACAATGTGAAGAGGAATCTTATTAAACTTGATACATTTCTTTTGTTGAACTTTTATTATCAACCTTGTTTTATATCTCTTATTTTCTTTGTGCTTTTCTTTTATCTTGAAAATTCATTTATTATGCAATTTTCTCTTTTCCTTTCATAGTTGAGTTAATGTCCGGTTGTTATTTTTATTGGAGTGCATCTCCTCTTCCATTAACTATTTGCATTATGACTAGGTTCAACTGCACTGAAACTGCTCACCATGTCCATAATCATAAGAGCCAAGCAATTATCCTCTATTTTCACTCATATCATAACAGCCTTTCTTTCTCACTTTCATTTGTCTGTAAAAATTTTCCTGCTTCATTTACTTATAAAACTTACTGTGTCTGTCTCTCTTGAATATGTAACATTTCACAACAATTGCCAAGTGCCTACACATTATCTTTTTTTATATAATCTTATATGATGCATCTCTCGAATTTCTTAAAAGTAACAACAATCGTTGGCGCTTCATTTTTTTTTTATTTAGTATGTCTGACTTGAGTAACGGGGTGAAGATGGCAAACAAACATTTGCAACAATTTTTTTTGCTTAATGCTAATCCAGACTAACAAAATTCACGATAAATTGTTGATCTTCCTTTTTTTAATAATGATGACTTCTAAATTTGTGTATGCCCATAAAATCATCTGTGTAGAATTTTGTGCTAACCCTCGAGAAAAAATGGAGATGCTCCTTAACAATTGCTAGTAATGCTAGCTTTGTTCCGACATTTTGTTTATCCCAAGGCCACGTTGGGGTAAAATACCACGTATTGCTTGTCCTGAATTAGACCATTTTCATCTTTCACAGTACATGGAAAGTTTATGGTAGATGAATTAAATCAAATTACGTTAGTCAATTACTTGTCCAAGAAATCTGGTAAATCACACCGTTTGAATCTGCATCTCAGCAAAGTAGCTGTCCATACTATTGATTTAAGGGGCATTTACGTACATACCTTACATCTAAACTTTGATTTTCACATTTATACTCCCCGAATCTTTCATATCAATGAAAAAATCATTTTAACTTTTAAATGTGAAATACACCTTTTCATGCATAAGTAAGGTGATATATACATAAAAATTGAACTTTAGGTGTTAGATATGTAAATTTATAGGAATTGAGTGGTTTGAGTGGTATGTATCTAAATCTTCCTTGATTTAATTTTACAATTATACAGTTCGTTGGAAACAAATTTATCAACGGGAAGGAGTTTTTACAGCTAGTTCTGATTGTCCAATTCATTTTATTGATTTGACTGTACCTTTTTGTCATACTGAGATTGATTTATTTCATCTATTTTGCACGCTTCCAACTGATTTATAAATGCCTCAGCTTGTACCAACTAATTATGTTGAGGAATCTTTTTGCGTATTTTCTGACCTCAGGTACATATCTGCAATTTCTTCATACCCATCAATCAAGATGGCTGGGGCATGCGTTCAATCTGTCACCCTTCCAGCTGGTTTGGCTAGCATTGGCCGCAGTCGAGGCTCTAGGGGTTCCCGAAGAGCCGCCAGGATGCTCTGTAGTCCCCGTTTATATCCTCTTAGGTTCCAAGGATATTCTGGATTGCGGTATTCTAATGTATTAGATCATAATTCCAAATCTGGATATGCTTTTCATTCAATGGTAGCGGCTTATATCTCCGCTCCAAAGGGAAAAGCTATAAGGGGCGTTGCTGTGGCTATGTTTGAGCGTTTCACAGAGAAGGCCATTAAAGTTATCATGCTTGCACAGGAAGAAGCTAGAAGATTAGGGCACAATTTCGTAGGAACTGAACAGATATTGCTAGGTCTTATTGGTGAAGGAACGGGGATTGCGGCTAAAGTTCTGAAATCCATGGGTATAAATCTGAAAGATGCTCGGGTCGAAGTGGAAAAGATTATTGGGAGAGGCAGCGGGTTTGTTGCTGTTGAAATACCATTTACGCCACGTGCAAAACGGGTTCTAGAACTCTCCTTGGAAGAAGCCCGTCAACTAGGTATGTTATGAATTCTTTTATATCTCTCGCATCCTTTATAATCATTTTTTAAGGGGCATTTACATTCGCAACACACAATTCTGATGCATTTACATTTCTCAAATCTTTTCTTTCATATTTACACAAATAACTCTGAAATCTTTAATATCACATAAAAAATAGCACTATTAGTCTATTATCACTCTTTAAAAGTGAAATACACCTATTCATGCATAGGTTTAAAGCGCCAAAATGCTATGTATGTAAATATGAACGTATAGCCGTGAGATATGTAAATACAAATGAATTGTGTGCTTGGTATGCAAATTTTACTTTTTCTTTTTAATTTTATATTTTGAGCAAGGAACTTGAATGAAACTCACTATAGCTCAACTTTCTTTAAAAAATTGCAGTCTTCATGAATAAAGATAGTATTTTATCTTATTTTGTAAACGAGGATAATTAATTTTGGCATACATCTTAGGATTTCCAAAACCGTAGCATATATTGAAATTTTGGTAGTCTGCCGCAGTTGTTCATGTATTTCCAGTTTCTTATGCGCCAATCACAAGTAGTGGAACTAGATTAATAAGAGTTGATCTAAATAAAAAAAAAAATTGACTCATTATCAAATTTAGCCTAATTTTGCAGCATTTTATTTTATTTTATTTATATTAAATGTAAAATGAAAAGCACGATGTCATTCTGAATTTAGTATTTGCTTTTATTTTATATACCTATGTATTGTATAAACGTTATGAATGATTGATGAATGACATTTGATTGCTTGTTGAGCCCATTGATTGCTTTTTTCACATTGTTTTAAATTGCATAAGGAATTCTTCCAATCTATGTATTCAAAGTGCTTCTCCCAATTTTGTGTATATGGAGATGTGAATTCTTTTAATTTTCTTACATTTAATTTAGTGTCTTTTTTTCCCTCCATTTCTCAAGAATTTCCAAGCTCCATTTGCTCTCCTTATTGACTTCACAAGTCCATATGTGCAAGAAGAAAAATCTGACAACCACTTTATGAATTTTGGTATTAGAGTTAATTTTCTGTTATTTATCCTCATTCTTATGAATTTATGTGTTTTACCTCTAGCCTTTCTCTACTCGTGCCATATCTGATGGTAGGAGTAAGAAATTAAAGAGAGTGAAGTGAAAGAAAGCACACAAAATTAAAGAAGGTAATTGAAAAAAAAAAAAGGAAATTTGCTTTGATGCTAGAATGGGTGAACTTGTTGGATTTTTCTTTTTCATTATCCAATTGGTGAGGAGGTTGGGTATGAGGTTTTTATGGAGTTTACGAGGAGTGGGTTGTGTTAGAAAATTCTTGAAGGATGAAACAATCACATAATTAAACTTAAGCAATATTGAAAGAAATAATTTTGCATACATAACTTGAAGAGTGCAAGAAGAATTATGCATAAACTTTGACCAATTAAGAAAAAAACAATGGTATTAATATGTAGTAAAGTTTCATTTACCAGTCATTCGTAATGTCAATGCGAGAGGTCTTATACAAAAGAAAAAGCAAACCCTTATTAAGGGTCATATCATCTTCATCATTATATACAACCATTAAAGAATTTGGCTGAAGTAGTATACTCCTTGGTTTCTAACATGCATGTCTCAGCTATCAATCTTAGCTGATGCATTTATAATGAATTTCTCTATATCCAACCTAGTTTTGGGCTTATCTAATAAAAGTATGGGATTGGTTTCTATTCTTTTATTAAAGAACCCTTGTTCTAGTTCTTGTCTAAAAAAATGAAAATAAATGCTGGAAAATTATGAAATCCGAGCATTACTTTTGTAGTTTGTTTGCCAATTTTCTTGTCAAAATCTGGCCTTAATAAAATAATTTCCAATGCCCGAACCTGTATGCTTTGGTTTTAAGATCTCTGAGTTGTCTTTATTTACCATCTTTCTTGTATTTTCAATGGTATATTTGATGAATATAGATGAATGAAATTATATTTTTCTATCTAAATCAAATGGATGTGTTCTCAAATAGAAAATTGTTCCATTCTAGGTCATAATTACATAGGTTCAGAGCATTTACTACTTGGATTGCTTCGCGAGGGTGAAGGTGTGGCAGCTCGTGTGTTGGAGAGCCTTGGAGCCGACCCAAGCAATATTCGGACACAGGTATATTTTTGATTTTGGGCATTTACATACATAGCACACAATTCTTATGCAGTTATATTTCTCACACCAAAAATTTCATGTTTGCAAACATATCACTTGAATCTTTAGTATCACAACAATAGCACAATTATCATTTTTGAAAGTGAAATGCACCTTTTGCTGCATAGGTTAATCACCAAAGTGCTATGTATGCAAATATGAAAGTTTATCTGTGAGATATGTAAATATATGATAATTGTGTACTACGTATGAAAATTTCCCCTTGATTTTTTGGGCGAACAATGTTGATGTATTGAAAACTTCTTTCTGATTTTTTGTGTTACAATTAGGTTATTCGGATGGTTGGTGAGAGCACAGAAGCTGTTGGTGCTGGAGTTGGAGGGGGAAGCAGTGGGAATAAGATGCCAACACTTGAGGAGTATGGCACTAATCTTACGAAGTTGGCTGAGGAGGTATAGTTTGTTTTTAGAGGCATTTACATTTTACATACATACCATCCAATTCATATATATTTAAATATATAACACATAAACTTTCTTTTTTTACATTCCACCACCCAAATCTTATACATCACATCCAAAAATACCATTATTATAACTTTTAAAAGTGAAATACAGCTTTTCATGCATAATTAATGTGGCATATATGTAAAACTTAATGTTTAGGTACTAGATATTTAAATACATAGTAATTGAGTGGCATATATATTTAAATCTTCCTCGTTTTTAATATTAACCGTTCTGTTTTCTCTGTAGGGTAAGCTTGATCCTGTTGTAGGAAGGCAGCAGCAAATAGAGAGGGTTACCCAGATTTTAGGTAGGCGAACAAAGAATAACCCTTGCCTAATTGGAGAGCCTGGAGTTGGTAAAACAGCCATTGCAGAAGGGCTAGCTCAACGCATTGCAAATGGGGATGTGCCAGAGACAATTGAAGGAAAGAAGGTATTTTTGAACTGCTTTGACGAATTTTATGAATTCACGTAGTTGTGTAAAAAATTGTCCAACACTTACAACTAGATCCGAGCTACTCTGTGTTCAAGTCGACTCAAATAATTTTTAATCAGGTTTGGATAGAGCCTGGCCCAAAACTGATCCCTTAACCCGAAATTAACTTGAAATTGACTCGAAATCTACCTGAATTTGATAAGAATAGTTGTTATGCCCTATGCTAAATGGGTTAATGCCGGGCCGTGTTCTAGTTGGACTTTCTCATCTTGTTTAGTATTTGGGCCGAGTTTGTGTCAAGTCGTTTCGGGTCGGGTTAATTACGGTCTAAACCCGAACTAGAAACAAACTTGATTTGACACTTTTAAATTCTCATGCTTTTCTGTATTTTAATCTCCACCTTTGTGCCTTCACAGCTTTATTGCAAAATTCTTTTTTTTATTTGGGCAGACTAGCTCCCAGTTCTTATGTCTTTACATATCTCACATTGTAACTTTTATATTTTTAAGTATAACACTCAAATTTTCAATATCACATCAAAAAATAGCATTACTATCATTTTTTAGATGTTAAATACTGCTTTTCATGCATGGATTAACCTCACCAAAGTGTTCTGTATACAAATATGAAGTTTCTGTGTGAGATATGTAAATATATTGAATTATGTGCTAGCTTTGTAAATTTCCCTTATTTATTTTCCCATAATCCAATTGCTTGTCTGCAGGATGTCATTTTAGTCCCAGAGTTTTTAAAAGTGCCAATTTAATTCTCAGATTCTTTTAATAGTCCCCACGAAGGACTGTTTCAACCCAATTTAAAGAGTTTGGAGATTAATTTGACACTTTTGTAGACTTTGGGACTAAAGTGACCCTATGTAATGAGTCAAAAGAATTTTGACACTTTACTCTCTTCAATTATATTTGCAACATTTAAAGTTTTTTTTAACAATTTTCTTCTACCACACTTGCCTTGGTTTAGAGATCATTTTTCTTTGTTTCATACGCATTCAACTATACTGAATTTGTTAAATTTTTTGCCGGAATTATTTAGGTGATCACTCTTGACATGGGCCTTCTTGTTGCCGGCACAAAATATCGTGGAGAATTTGAAGAAAGGTTGAAGAAATTAATGGAAGAAATCAAACAGAGTGATGAGATTATACTCTTTATTGATGAGGTCCACACATTAATTGGAGCAGGAGCTGCGGAGGGTGCAATTGATGCCGCAAATATCTTGAAACCTGCACTTGCTAGAGGTGAACTGCAGGTAATATAAAGTTTATTGGAAATTTTCATACACAGCACACAATTCCTTTGTATTTACACATCAAACACCTAAAGTTTGATATTTACATTTATAAAATTTTGGTGTCATGAAACCTATGCACAAAAAGATATACTTCACTTTTAAAAAGTTAGTAGCGGTGATATTTTTTATGTGATATTAATGATTAAAGTCTAATGTATTTAAATATGAAAGTTTAGATTTTAGATATGTAAATACATAAGAACTGTGTGGTATGTATGTAGATATCCCAAAATTTATTAATCGTCTAGTCCTGTATGTTTTAACAATACACTCGGCTCCAGTTAACCTTGCCATTTTTTATGGTAAATGTTGGAGGCCTTGTCTTCTATTCTGCAGGAACTTGCCTGCCTTGCTATTTTTTATTTTAAAAAGTTTTACATGCATATACCGCTCAATTCTCATGTATTTACCTATCTAACACCTAAGCTTCAATTTTTACATTTACGGCACCAAACCTATGCATGACAATGTATATTTCACTTTTTAAAAGTTAAAGCAGTGGCATTTTTTTTTGTGATATAAAAAATTTGGTCGTTATAAAATTAAATAATGAAGTTTAGATTCTAGAAATGTAAAAAATATAAGAATTGATGCTATTTATGTTTATATATGCCTTTTTTAAAATAAAATATTGAATTTATTTTGTTCTGTGTCAGTGCATTGGAGCCACTACACTTGATGAGTATCGAAAGCACATAGAAAAAGATCCTGCATTGGAAAGGAGGTTTCAACCTGTTAAAGTACCTGAACCAACAGTCGATGAAACAATTCAAATTCTAAAAGGACTTCGCGAGCGCTATGAAATTCACCACAAACTTCGCTACACGGATGAGGCTCTCATTGCTGCTGCACAGTTATCTTATCAGTATATCAGGTTTCTTTGGATTCTTCTTCTTCTCTCTATTTGCTATGCTCTTCTAAGCTAATTTTATCGGTATATTTTTTGCATGCTTTTATGTGTTGGAAGATTTACATCGATACCTCTCAGTTCCCATCCAGTGAACTTGCATATTTAACACCTAAAATTCAAATTTTTTACCTATGCGCCAAGGTTAAAATAGTGTTAGTTTTGATATGATATGAAATATTTAGGTGGTATAAATGGAACAAGTATAATTTATGTGTTAGAAATGTAAATACATAGGAAGTGGGTGGTATGTATGTAAATTACCCTTATTTGTTTTGCTACTCTTGAATGGTCTGCATCTCTTAGCCTTATGTTGTGCCATGGCTTCCATTTGATTTTCTTTTGATTTTATAATTTCCGACCGTGTCGGTCATTCATTTGCTAAATTCATCGGAAATTAGCTTCCTTTTTTCTGAATAATGAACAAGTGGATGGACCACGTATGGTAATGAAGATTTGACACGAGTGGGAGAAAAAGGAAGATTTATGTATATACCACTCAATTCTTATTTATTCACTTCCAAACTTCAAATTTTACATATATGCCATCTTACCTATGCAGGAAAAGATGTATTTTCTTTTTGGAAGATTTGAGAAGTAAAGTTTAGGTGTTAGATATGTAAATGCATAGGAATTGTGTGGCATGCATGTAATTTTCCCAAAAAAAAAAAAAGATAGAGCAGATTACTTCCAGATTTTGATCCAAGTTTTTTTGGATATTTTTGTATGAAACTTTTTATTTTCTAAGACTACGTGTAGCTGTTTATTTGTTCCCTTTTTTGCACGATGCATTTTCAGCTTTACCTGGGAGGTGTTGAAATTCATTATGCTATGAAAAAGGACATTCTCATATTCCCTCTCTTTCTACCACCTTTCTCTCTCTTTGTATGCAGTCTTTTTAGTATAGTCTGTAAATGATGATGCTGTATAGTCCCTCCCTCTCTCTCTCTGTCTCTCTCTCTCTCTCTCAATGTGTACCTATATGCTTTGGTGTTCTCTTTTTGAGCAAAAATATAACCTAAGATGCTTATCATTTCATTGATACTAGTAGAAAGGATGGGTTGATAATATATTCTCTGAAGATTTACATACATATCATTTAATTCCTCTGTATTTACATGTCTAACACCTAAACTTTAATTTTTACATGCATGCCACCTTATGCTTGAGAATGTGTATTTTACTTCTTAGAAGGTAAAATGATAGTAGTTTTGATATGATATAAAAGAATCCGGTGGTAACTGTAAAAAGCAAAGGTTAGGTGTAGATATGTAAATGAATAAAAATTAGGTGGTATGTATGTAAAAATGCCCCTATATTTTTTTTACAGCATGTATTCTTTAAAAATTCAAAATATATAGCCTTTTTCAACTTACTCTAATTGAACTCAGATTGTGCCTCCTCTTTGATGTAGATTGTGATAAAAGCTCCATGGTTAAAAAAGTTGACTGCTGTTGTTTTCTTTTTTCTGTTTTGGTTTTAGGGTGAAGAAAAATCTTGGGGCATTTACATACATACCGCCCAATTCCTATATATTTACATATCTAACTCCTACACTTTAAATTTTACATTTATTTCACCCAAATCTTTCATATCGCATAAAAATATCACCATTTTAATGTTTGAAAAGTGAAGCACATCTTTTTATGCATAAGGTGACGTGTATGTAAAATTTGATTTTTATGTGCTAGATATGTAAATGCATAAGAATTGAGTGTTATGTCTGTAAATCTTCCTCTTTGCATATACAACTTGGAGTGTTCTACGTGCATATCCTGGTTCTAGAGAGCACTAATCTTCCTCTTTGCATGTACAACTTGGAGTGTTTTAATCAACCTCACAATATTTTTCATTCATCAAAATATTCCGTTTTAGTTATTGCTTGTCAATCTCTATTTACAGAAATATGATTGCAAGAACAAAACCAATTAATTTAAATTAAGATTCAACCTCATCTATATTAAAATTTAATCTTTCTTCCTCTTTATGCATATCACCAATCCCTTTTTCAAGAAGCTTCCCCAATGATAAGATAGAAATATGGCTATTCTTTTTTCCCAAATTGCATATCTATACATTATCAATTAATTTTCCATACTATAATCTTTTATTAATCTGATAAATTACTATATTCTCTCAGCGATCGATTCCTACCAGATAAAGCGATCGACTTGATTGATGAGGCTGGTTCTCGCGTTCGACTTCGACATGCTCAAGTAAATACTGTACAGTAGGTTTCTTACTTCAGTAATTTGTGCCCCGGTCTTCTCATTGTTATCCTGTTCCACCTGCAGCTCCCTGAGGATGCCAGAGAACTGGACAAGGAGCTCCGACAAATCACCAAAGATAAGAATGAAGCTGTTCGCAGCCAGGATTTCGAGAAGGTACTATGAATTTTCTCAGAATTTTATTTAGAAGATTTACATAAATACCACTTAATTTTTATATATTTATATTCTTAATATCTAAACTTCAATTTTTGCATACATACTGGTGATATAAATGTAGAAACCAAATCTTGGTGTTAGATATGTAAATACATAGGAATTTGGTGGTTTGTATGTAAATGCCCCAATTTATTTTACCCATGAGAAAAGTGAGTCTTTCACAGCGAGCCATTTTAGTCTCAAAATTTATAGAAGTATCGTTGTAGTCTGATTTTTTTTTAATATTGTTTGAAATAATCGGTCATAAGAACTATTTTAGCCCCGATAAAAAAAAAATGAATTTTACATATGTAACATACAATTCTGTTGTGTTTACATTTCTCGCATCTAAGTTATACATAGCATTTTGGTGCTTGAAATATATGTATGAAAAGATGTATTTCACTTTTTAAAATATAGTAATAGTACTATTTTTGATGTGATATTAATTATGTGTGAAAATATGAAAGTATAGGTGTGAGATATATAAATGCATAAGAATTGTGTGCTATATATGTAAATGCTCCTTAAAAAAATCGGGATTAATTTAACACTTTCATGAACTCTGGGACTAAAAAAGATCGCTTCTTTGGATTGGTCCTTATTATCTTAGAGGAATCTTTTTATGCATACCATTCACTTTCTATGTATTTACATATCTAAACCTAAACATTAATTTTTACATATATTCCATCTTATCTATGCATGAAAGGTATAATTTCACCCTTTTAAAGTTAAAATGGTGGTACTTTTGATGTGATATGAAAGATTTGGATGGTATACATGTAAAATGTGAGGTTTAGGCCTTAGATATATAAATACACAGGAATTGGGTGCTAAGTTTGTACATGCTCCTATCTTTGATGCTTATTTTTCACTCCACCTTCCTGTTTCAGGCTGGTGAGTTGAGAGACCGAGAGATGGAGCTGAAGGCCCAAATCTCTGCCCTCATCGACAAAGGCAAGGAAATGAGCAAAGCCGAGAGTGAGGCCGGCGACGCCGGCCCCATCGTCACCGAAGTAGATATCCAACATATCGTATCCTCCTGGACCGGAATTCCCGTCGAGAAGGTCTCCAGCGACGAATCCGACCGCCTTCTCAAAATGGAAGAAACACTTCACCAGCGCGTCATCGGCCAAGACGAGGCCGTCAAGGCTATCAGTCGCGCCATTCGTCGCGCTCGTGTCGGCCTAAAAAACCCTAACCGCCCCATTGCCAGCTTCATTTTCTCCGGCCCCACTGGCGTCGGCAAGTCGGAGCTTGCCAAGGCCCTTGCCGCCTACTACTTCGGCTCCGAAGATGCCATGATTCGCCTCGACATGAGCGAGTTCATGGAACGCCACACCGTCTCGAAGCTCATCGGCTCCCCCCCCCGGGGCTACGTTGGCTACACCGAAGGTGGCCAATTGACCGAAGCCGTTCGCCGACGTCCGTACACCGTTGTTCTTTTCGATGAGATTGAGAAGGCTCACCCGGACGTCTTCAACATGATGCTCCAGATCCTAGAGGACGGCCGGCTCACCGACAGCAAGGGCCGAACCGTTGACTTCAAGAACACGCTTCTGATCATGACGTCGAACGTCGGCAGCAGCGTGATTGAGAAAGGAGGGCGGAGAATCGGCTTTGATCTAGACTATGATGAGAAGGACAGCAGCTATAACAGAATCAAGAGCCTGGTGACTGAGGAGCTGAAGCAGTATTTCCGGCCAGAGTTCCTGAACCGGCTCGATGAGATGATCGTGTTCAGGCAGCTGACGAAGCTGGAGGTGAAGGAGATCGCCGACATCATGCTGAAGGAGGTGTTCCAGAGGTTGAAGACGAAGGACATTGAGTTGCAGGTGACTGAGAGGTTTAGGGATAGGGTTGTGGAAGAAGGGTATAGTCCGAGCTATGGGGCGAGGCCATTGAGGAGGGCGATTATGAGGCTTTTGGAGGATAGTTTGGCTGAGAAGATGCTTTCTGGGGAGATAAAGGAAGGGGATTCAGCGATCGTCGATGTCGATTCGGATGGAAATGTTACGGTGTTGAACGGTAGCAGCGGCGCGCCGGAGACGATTAGTCCGGCGATGTCGATCTGACGCAATGCAGCTTTTCGGCGAGATGGGGTGTGGTTTATGTTGATGTAGAATGAATGTGTAGTAAACTGGTTGTAAGACTTTTAATTGAGTGTGGAGAAGAGGGTTCTATGCAACCTGGAGATGAGTTCTGGGGTTAGGTTTAAATAGGGTTTAATGAAATAATAATGCAGTTAGGTAAAGTATGGTGAATGATGATGATATTTTTATAGTTAAAAGTTTGTTGTTTTAAACAGTGCAATCTTTTTATTTTGAAGGTGCATATAACAATTCTTGTATATTTACATTAATAGCACTCAAATTGTTTTATTCACATTAAAAATAGCAATTTCATCAACTTTTTAACTCAAACTTTTTGATACATAGATTTATAGCTGAAGTTGTACATGTTAAATGTTAGGTGTTTGATATGTAAATTCTAAGAACTGCTGTAGTTATATAAAATTTCCCATTTTTAAAGGAAAAAATGCGCATGCAAGGTTTTCTGATAGTTTTTTTATTTAAATAATTTTTTTATTATTTTAGATCTTTTTCGTGAGTATTTATATTACATGTTTTCAAAATTTGTTGTTTTATATTGGAAATAATCTTTAATTAATTTATTTTGGTATGTTGTGTTAAAATAAAAAAATTAGAAATAAAATAGAATATAATACGATATAAGTAGTCATTACTAAAAAAAAAATCTAAAAGAAGTTTCAATATATAAAGTTATTTTATTCAATTCGTGACTTGCAAAATAATATAAAAAATCTGATTGCTTTGTGAAAAGATTAGTCCGCTTCTACATGTTGTATTACTGCTTGTTCAATTGCTAGACAGCTTAAATGTATGATAATCAATTACTACGACGTGCAGTACCTGCTCTAACAAATTAATTTTTGTTTGCAAATCAATATAAACAATGTAGGAGCCTGCAATATATAAAAAATACGCATACATATCAGTCAATTTTTATGCACCTAAATTTCAATTTTTACAGACATGCTACTTTATTTATGCGTCAGTATGTCATTTTCTTGGAAGTTCAAATTATAATTTTTTTAATATGATACTTAATTTTGGGTGGTATAAATATAAAATATAAAATTTTGGTGCGAGGATATATAAATACATAGGAACTCAGCATGACACATGTAAATACCCTTACTATGTGATTGCGAGCATAGCTTACATTATATGTTGAATGCCTCATTTTTTAAAAGAAAGATATATATCTTCTTAAGTTTATGGAAAATAACAGCATAAAGAATATATTTTTCAGCATTCAATCAGGAACACCCACCAAAATTTTCACAATAGCTGTACCTGAGTCCATATATAATACCCCAAAGAGTTGACTTATTTCTCAACTATTTATAGAAAACAGACTAGATAGATTATGAGAGAGAGAGAGAGAGAGAGAGAGAGAGAGAGAGAGAGAGAGGTTTGCTCATTAAAAGAAAATCAACAAATAACCAAGAAAAAAAAAATAAAAATCAAGCGTAATAAAATCTAAATCTTTTTTTTTTTCTTGTTAATGGAACTAAGTGTCAAAATAATTTTGACTATTTGAAAGGGGATCATTTTAGTTTGAGAGCATAGAAGTGTCAATTTAGCCCCAAATTCTTTTGATATAAAACTTACTTAGACTCACTTTAAAAAAAAATCAGACTAATTTATTTGACTATTTTTTAGACTCGATCGAACTAAAATAACATTATATAAATAGTCTAGGGACTATTTTGACACTTCACTCTTTTTAATGTGTGCACGCGCACTTATATGCGCACAGGCATGCGTGTACCTGTGTAGGAGGGCTCTTGCTTAAAAAAAGTCGGGCTATTTAGCCCTTCACAGATAGTTTTTTAGATAGATAAATAAAAAAAAAAACACTCAATGGTAAAGCTATTAAAATGCTCAACAAACAAGCTATTATACTTATATGTTAATTAAAAAAAAAGATAATAATACACAAAAGAGTAGTTAACATTAGATGAGCAATTGTGTTCAAGAGCTATGATCCATCTCACTGCGAGAAGCTTCCCACAGTCGCTGCTCAATGCCAAGTTTTCTCAGCTCCAACAGACCTCCTTCAACTGCACGGAAAGAAACTCACGCGGAGAATTTCATTGTAACAATCAAATCATGTTAGCTTTAGTACTAAAGTTCTCTTCCTGTAGTGAAGGGTATTTTTGATGTGATGCTAAAAATTTGATTGATATACATGTAAAATATGAATGTTTATGTGTTAGATATGTACATACATAAGAATTGTGTGGTATGTATGTAAATAATAGTAATAATAAGAGTAGGTAAATATGATTTGGAATATGCTGTAGGAAGATTTACAAACCACCCAATAGTTAGGTACCTATATTTCTAGAAATCATAGTTCAATTTTTACACACATGCCATCCTACCTATGTATGAAAATGTGCATTTTACATTTTTGAAAGTTATATCATTGTTTTATAATTTTATTTTCTTCTTCTATTTGAACAATAATGTTCACCATTATATGAATTAGATTGTACGTATTGTGTAGTTGCTTATTGGGACGTTACAAAATTCTTATAAATTTTCATCTTTTGTATATAAACTTTAGTATTTACATGCATAACAAGCAAATCTTTAATTACACAAGAAAAATATCACTATCAACTAATCTTTAAAAGGGAAATACATCTTTTCATGCCTAGATTTATGACACCAAAGTATTATAAATTAGATATGAAAATTCAGGTGTTAGATTTGTAATACATAAGAATTGCATGTATGTAAATTTCTCTAAATTATTTTCGCATATTTTAACATAAGTGCTAGCTATTTTAACTAATATAATATACAATAAATTCTTGCTTGCATATATTTACAAATGTGAGCAAAGATTAAAAGTCAAGCATATAATAGTGTTGTTAGTTCAACTTGGCAATCCTATTCTGGGATTCCATGGATGATTGGGGCCAAGTGCAAATAGAAAATTTACATACGTACCACAAAAATTTGATATTCATAGCTATGACACCTTGGTGCTATAAATAGGGCTGTTAACGATCTGATTTCGAGCCGAGATGGGGTCGGTTCAAAATTGGCTAAAAAAAAATCGATTCAAAATTTTGGCTCGTAGCCCAGCTCGTTTATTTCGATCAGATCTTAATCTGAGCCAAAATTTGAATCAATTTTTAAGCAATTAACAATTTTTGAGCTAATTTACTAAATTCACAGCCATGCGTGATTAACGATCCGATTCCGAGCCGAGCTGGGGTTGGCTCGAAAAAAATTCGATAAAAAAATTTGGCTCGTAGCTCGACTCATTTATTTCAATCCGATTTTGATCCGAGGCAAAATTCAAATCAATCTTCGAATGATTAACAATCTTCGAGCTAAACTGACACCCTAGCTATAAACCTATGCATAAACATATGCCTTTGATTAATAAAATATTAGTAGAAGTATATTTTCGATGCGATGTTTAAATTTTAAGTGTTGTGAATGTAAATATTAAAGTTCAGTGTTCGATATATAAATACGGAGGAATTGGGTGGCAAATGTCAGCTATAATGTTTTCATCAACAGGAATCTTGAACGAGCATGCCTAAAAAGATAGCCCAAACAAAGCTACTAGAAATGCAAAATTTATGAAGTAAGATCTGCACACTCCGAGCATAGATAAAAAATTAAAAAATAATAAAAACGGCGGGTATAAAGGGCCAGTTATAAGAGTTAAGAGGAGAACTCACCATGAACCGCGTCATGAGAAGTAGGGGATTCACCTGAGCGACCAATCCAAAACTGTAGCCTTTCATCCGCAATCTCTTCATCCACGCCATGGGATTTGGCTCTTCTCCAGAAATATGTAAGCCATGCCTGAATAAGGTGGATGATAAATCTTATATTTTTTAAAAAGAGCAGTTGCATATATACCACCCACTTCTTATGTCTTTACATATTAACACTTATACTTTTGATTTTTTTACATTAATACCACCAAAATCTTTCAAGTCTTATAAAAAATACCGCTATTTTAACTTTAAAAAGGTACAATACACCTTTCATGTATAGGTAAGGTGGCATATATATGTAAAAATTGAAGTTTAGGTGTTTGACATCTAAATACATAAGAATTGAGTGGTTGGATGTAAAAATTATTTATTAATTGCAATAAAATAATATACAAATAAATTACTATTGAATCAAAATGTGTTTAGGCCAAGAATTATTAAGGGTAGACCATGCATTTTACACTAAGATACTCCTAAATCATTAATATCCCTTTTGGGATTATATTATATATTAAAGTGCATTTTTAAAAAATTGATATTATTTTCTCTCTTTCATAATAAACAAGCCGGTTCAAACTAATAAAAGTAAGCTCGACGAGCTAAAGCTCAATTAATTAATCAAGCTCAAACCGAATGTGACTTAAGCTCGACTCGTCTACACCCCTAAAAGACACTATTATATTAATGCACAAAGATGCAACATTTTGTGTGAATCATAACTTCTATATTTAACATTTAAGAAGAACATCCTTACCTCTTTGAACAAAACATCTTCAGACTCCTCGTCGCTTAGTTCTGAAAAGTGAAAAAAAAAAATGAAAATGGTTACATAACTTTGATTCAGTCTTTAAATAGCACAACAGCAACTAAGAAGCATAGATCTCCAGGTTCTCCATATCTGTTACAAATAAATGCAGATATAAAGCTAAGGTGTATTGTATTAGCCATTGGCGTTATCTAACAAGAAAATAAAACAATCAAGCATAAGTGGTTAACTTGTTCTGAGTATAAGAGTAGATGTGAGATCAATGACCAATCATAAAAATTTCACCAAAAGTCATAAAATAAATATAAATTTGAATATTGTTAATGTCATGTCATCCCCTAGAAGCGCCAAGCTATGACCAACCCAATTATGACGAGAAATAAAGTCGACCACAACGTAACCCAATTACTGTGAAAGGCTGATAAGAGCTGACAACATCTAAAATGAAGATTATATTTACAACATGAAAGTTGAGGACAGAATGAGAAGACCAGAATTATTGGGCACAATAATCAAAACAAGAGCAAATATTATATGCTTGCAAAAAAATAAATAAAAAGTTCAACATATATTGGAGAGATTAAGAATTAAAATATGATAAGGAAAATAGTAATAACAAATGGAAGGAGAAAATTATTGAGTGAGTAAGGCTACGGATAGAGTTATTGCTATTAAGCGAATGATCAGTGAGGGGATTACAAAAATAGTTAGCCTGTGCGCAGTTTGTTGGATAAAAAGATAAGTTAAAGAAATGGTTTGAGAAAATATAGAGAAATATTAGAATATATGTATGAGGAAGGGAGAATAATAATTAAAGGTGATTAAACGGATATAAAGGCTCTAACTATGAAAGGGTTCATGGAAGGCAAGAAATAAAACATAAAAGCGAGGGAAGAAACTATACTTGATTTTGTAGTTTCATATGATACTTGCAATACCAAACACATAATTTAAGCAACAAGAATACTTTTTATTTTACTTTCAAGGTGAAGTCGTCACATAATAGATATATTTTTTTCTAAGATAAGAAGTAAAGATAACTTTATTTTTTTAGGATTTCAGCACTCTGATTACTTGTAGATGGTAAACAAACTTTAAAAATGATAGTTTTTTTTAACTTAACGTGTGAAAATGAAATCATTATTTGAGAGAGTTTGTGAAGTTTAAAACCAACATCTAGCCAAATGATAGAATCTAACAAATTTTATCTTCTGTAGATCATACTTTCTAATATTGAGCAACCAAAAGGTCTACAAAATAATTTCAGGAGAAGAATTGATTATATAATATCAAAAAATGGTTAAAGATCTACCTCTCAAGAGTATAAAAAAGAGGATGGAAGAAATAATACCCAAGATGAATAGTGGAACTTTAAAGGTAAGAAATTGTAATTCATTTACAAAAAATTGCTAAGATTTAAATAAGAAAATATGTCAATGTAATCGTTATGTTGTTGAGATTTTCAAAGTTAGGTGGATCATGACAAAGTAGAATTAAAACATAGATTTGATCTTTTAGGAATAAACCTTATAAAAGCAGCGGATATGGTTGATTTTTGTAAATCTAAAAAATGGGTGTGGTTTTATAAAGTTTTATTTGATTTTTTATAATGGTTAAGCACAAGATGCATCCTGAAGTCCCCTTGCATTGCCTATTCTTAAATTAGTTAATCTGCAATGGTAAGAGGTATATCTGAGAACAGTAAACTCCACTTCAAAAATGGGCATTGAAGTATATGCTTTTAACAAACACATAATCCACTTTCGTAAAATGGATTAAACATAACAATGATAGTGTAGATTAACAATGATAGTGTAGATTAACATAAAATAGATTAACAATCCATAACAAACACATGTATCTTACTAATAATGATAGTGTAGATTAACATAAATGGTGTCAATTTCCTAATCATATGCTGCATGATTGAAAAATACATGGAAATAAATTAGTACTGAAAAGTGTCTATCCTCATAGAAGGCATAGTTTAGCACTACAGCACATACAATAGCCCCATATATGATGATAAATTTCAAGAATTCTCGTGTTGTCAGATATATATTAAATCATGTTTGAATTGTGATTCACAAAGCCACATAAAACTCTAATCAAAATTCAACTTTACTAAATGCAAATAAACATCACGATGTTTATACTAAGAATAAATAAACATTGCTAAAAACAGGAATAATTAAAAAATAAAGGTGAACTTTTAATGGACTTTAAAGAAACACGTGTTAAAATAATCAAAGATGAAGTGAATGTTATTACCGTAGGCATCCATGAACTTTGGATCACCACCGGGTGATTTAAGATCTGGACAAATCATCAAAAGAGAATATTAACTTTCTAGTCAGTCCTAGAGAATAAATAGCCGTTATTGTGCCCAGAAATTGAAAATTGCCAATATCAGAAAGCTCATAAATATGCAGATATATAGGGCACACACAAAATAGCTAATTGTAGCATGCTAAGGATCATCTTTTTCATGAAAGGCAATAATTGACAATGCCAAAGACATCATTTTCATGAAAGGCAATAATTGACAATGCCAAAGAAGACATTACTAACAACATTCATAACAAAACAAGCAGTTATTAGGAACATATCAAGAGCTATAAAGATTGAATACAAAAAATTCAAATTTTCTTCGTTGTCCTATGAATTTAAAAAGCTGACTCATGATAAACCAATTTCCCGACATAAATTGGTAAAGTTTTTCCTCGCGAGAATGACTCCACTGTCATTGATCTCATACATAAATAAAGAAGGAAGGTTTACATGCATACCACTCAATTCCTATGTATTTACATTTCTAACACTCAAACTTCAATCTTTACATACATCCCACCTTAAACATGCATGAAAAGGTGCATCACTTTTAATAGTTAAAATGGTGGTATTTTTTACTTGACATGAAAAATTTGGGCAGTATAAATGTTAAAAAGTAAAGTTTAAGAGTTAGACATGTAAATACAGAAGCAATAGGTGGTATGTATGTAAATGCCTCAATAAAGAATAGCTGGATAATTGGACAAATTACATAATATAATTACAATTTTGTTATTCTCATATTAGATGGCCAGCTAGAATATGAGTAAAAAATTAATCACGCTTTCAGAACACTATGAGCTAGAATAATGCCACTGATAACGGCTACATGCTTCAAAAAGACATGAAATAGTATAATTTTTTATTTTTTGTTTATTCAATTCATTAGATTAATAATCATCTTTGGTAATAATATGCTTGAATGTTTTTTAAAAGCAAAATTGCATACTCCAGCCAATAAAAAGAATCGCCAAATAATATAAAAATTGAAATACAAAATTAAAGATAACATGATGATACGGGATCCTACTCTTATTTATCATGCTTTACTTGTAATCTAGTGAAACTTGGAAATGACAATAAATTTTTTTCTTAAAAAAATATTCTGCATGTCCTGATGAAGAAGAATTGAAACATTTAATCCATTTATGCTTTGATACCTTGAATACTACTGTCAAAAATCATAAATCTGATCATAATTCGGGCCGCCATCATTCTCAACTATTAAATATCATAAAGAGTAAAATGGAAGTTAACCCAAACAACAAAGGTATAATAATATTATTGTTGAAATTCAAATAGGAAATTACAACCAACCAATTGAGATAGGAGTTAGCAACAACACGATAAACGGGAATCTGAAATAATGACAGATGACAACACCAATTCCGACAGGGAATGTGGTGACGATAGGCGAGGGTTCAGACCTCTAGAGAGGTAGAAAAGAAAGTTAGATGAGTTGGAAGGAAGGGTGGCAGCAAGGGGGCAATGTTGACAACAAAGGGAGGTAAGAAATGTAGGAACAACGACAAGGCGGTCTATTCTGTGGCGACAAGGGCAAGGGGTTGGAAAGAAGGTCCAAGAAGGCTGCGCGGGATAAAACAAATGCTTAGGATCAAACCAAATATGCCTCAAAATACATATTAAGCTATTTAAAAATTAATTCAATTCAATAAAATTAAACACCTACATGTGCTCCGACGATAAACCAAAGTTCTTAAACTTTTTCGTCTGAGAATACTATGTGGGTCAAACATATGCTTAAGCTAATAGAAAATTTGTTCGAAAAACATGCACATAATTCAATATGTCGTAAGTCCCGCACTTTAGCCAATCCGACCCTCCTCCCTACAGGGAATGGTGCCGATAAGATTGAGCCCCCACTGCACCAATATGATCCTCCTCCCCATAGGGACCGGAGTCGACAAAATTGAGCCACCACTAGCTAGTTAGATCCTCCTTATGAGAACAGGAGTTGACAGGACTAATGCTCTTAATGAAGTCTAAGTAATTAACCTCTGATGATGGCCGTGTTGGGCCTATTTTAAAATTATATCTCAATATCTATTTTGAATTCAATTATTTCAATTATTGAACCTAATTCTCTATAAACGGGATAAAGCCGGCATGGTTCAAAAACATAAATCTCCGATGATGGTCCTGTTGATAGTGAATCTCAACCGGAAGGATCTATTTTAAAAACATATCTCAATGTCTATTTCGAATTCAATTATTTCAATTATTAAGCCCAATTCTCTATGAGCGAATAGAGTCGTCAGGGTTCAAAGATATAAATCTCCGATGAAGGCCATGTTGATAGTGAATCTCAACTAAAGGGGTCTATTTTAAAATTATATCTCAAAGTTTATTTCAAATTCAATTATTTAAATTATTGAACTGGATCCTCTGTGAGCGAGACAAAGTCGACAGTTTCAAAGACATAATTCCCTAATGATGACCGTGTTGATCGTAAATTTCAACCGAAGGGATTCATTTATAAAATTAAAATGTTTTTAAATCATAAAAAAATAATTTTTAAATGAAAAATTATGTCACTTAATGCTTAAAGTAAAATTCATCCGCCCTCCGCAACTGTTTGCGGACAAAGTTAGTACTGAATCGAGCTCATAAATAACCAATGTCATATCAACTATACTTTTAAGGGTGTGTTTGGGGGTGGTGGTGCGGCGGCGATGTCATGCTGCACTACAATTTTTTCTATTTAGTAAAACTACTTTTTTATCCGTGTTCTCAAAAACCTGCAGCTAAAAACTACATTTTTCCACCATATCTGGCTACCTGCGGTGACTGCTAGAAAACTGTGGTATGACTTTTTCATTTTTTTGGTAATAATTGAACAACTTTCTGCAGCTACCCCAAACAGACCCTAAATTCATGCTCAAAACAAATCTTAAGTCAGTAAGTACATGACTCTAGTCATCTATCCGTGTGGTTCTTACTGTTAAATGATACCACACAAAATGGTTACAACCATAACCCTCTGACTGGGTGGTTTGTCGCTAAATGACACAATTATATTACGGTCACGGCTAATGACAGTCTGTCATTTTGAGTATTGAATCATATGGTCTATTTGATAGGGCAAAAGGTCCTCTGTAAGCTAAGGTCGACTTAGAATAGTCCCCTTAGACAAACATTCACCTCGGTTCTACAAGGTCTCCTTGGATAAAACAATCCATGGCTACTGACAAGAATCCTTCGATCAAGTTGGGTCGACTATCTCTGCTGACTAAGCAAACACCAGCCATGACAACTTGGGATGATAGATACATGAGATCTTGATAGGGTTCATCCTTGTTTCCCCCACCATCCGTTTTGAGCTCACAGTGATAATTTTATAATTTAAGATCTCAAATTTGCTGATACTACGTGCTAAGTCTAAATATTTAGCGCCTAATGACTATTCATAATCGAAAATTCTCTCCCATTATTAGGACGGGTGATTAACCATAGGGGTTTGTGCCTATGGGACACCTCAAACCCCAGATCTTAAAGTCCCGTTGCGAAATGAGGGTGAAATCTCTAGGTAGTGTCTTATCTATTATCTCTTCTGTCTTCTGAAAAATCGATCCGGAACTTAACACTCCCCTGTTAAGCTCTCGACGAGAGTCTGTGGTGTTTTCCAAATTTTCGGAGCCCGCAAAGAGAAACAGATGATTAGGCAATTGGAAAATCATAAAATAGTAGGAAACAACGATTTCCGGGAGACTGCAGTGTGGGGGAATGTCGGCGACAATAATATGGAATGTTGGGGATTGCGGGACAACAAAGATGACTGTCCGGCGCGACGACAGCGGGGATAGAGGCTGAAATTGGAAACCTGCAGAGAAAATAGCTATATGTAGTTGTTCAGGGGTGGCTGCAGCAAGAGAGGGCACTCGGGAGTGACATGGAGAAGATATAGAAGGGGATAGAGAGGCTAATCACTACCTGGAGACTAAGATAAAACCAAAGTACCACCTGAGCTCCTAGGATGCAGCCCTCGAAAGGAAGAAAAGATGCTGGCAGCTATCCCGATACAAAATACACGAATAACTGTCTTCCAAACCCAATACAACAACTATATAGGAAATGACTAAAAAGAAATGAAGAATAATGGGAAAAAATACATAAAAAAGGAAATCAAGATTGATCTGACCCGTCTCCCCATCTACTGCAATCGCGGGAGTTGCGCGGCTCACGTCCCGCGTCAGAAGCGGAGAGTTCCCGCATCAAGGGGTTAGCACATATGCAGAATTCATTCATCAATTTATCAATTTTCTATCAATAACCATGAGCATTGTGACCAATCCAAAACTTCTCATCCAAAATAAAAATAACATCCATTTGTACTTGCAAGGGTTTATCAAAATAGAACCCAACAAACATAAGGTGGATTGGTTAAAGTGATGTAAGAAAAGATGGAAAAGCAATCCAAACTGAAGTGATAGGTGGTTCTATATATGAGTCAAACTAAGGAGACTACTTAACATATGCTCAGATAGCCATCTACATAGTTGGATCAACATGTGAAAAATATAAAGTAATATGCTTTTAAAGATAATCTAATAAGAATATGATAAAGATCCATAAGCCCAATATAGAAGCTGCCAATCAAATACATGTCTGACATGAATCTAATGTATAATCTTAATAATGGAATGTCCAAAAAAAAATTAGCCTATGATAGAGAAAAAAAAATTGAATCACTAGCTTAAAATACCTAGCTTTAGAAATATATCTAGCCCATGAAATCTAATGTGGACAAAATTTAAAAACTATACAATGGAGATTCTCAAAGCCATTCCGGTGAACTAGACTGTAATTGACGAAGATTCCATAATCTCGATTGTCCGATCCGTCCAAACACTTCTGCTATTGCTGGAAGATGTCGCATATCTTATAGCGTACTTGGTTGATAATACTCTGCAATGGATTATAATCCATAAAATTCAATTTAATGGCAGTCAACCAATGCTTGCCTA